AGCGCACCATCTCGCAGACATTCCCTACCCACTACCAACACGACGTCAAGGACACCAACATGTTGGACGCCGTTAACGAAGCCACCATGCACGCCGACGGCCTGTCGCAGCATTCACAGGCCAGCTCCTTCTCCCGCGCGTTTGGTGCAGTCGCTGGTAGTTTCACCCGCCAAAAGACGCGCCGGCGTATGTCGTCCGTGTCGTCCGCCACACCTGCACAGCGTCGCCGCGGCTCCATTCATTCCTTATTCGAGTCGTTGCCCTCTTCGAGCACTAGCCAGAAATCTACCATGGATCAACAGCGAATGCCCCTGCAACACCAAGACTCTGGCATTCCCACTTTTCAACTGCAACCACAAAGCACAAGCTCAAAGGCTTTTGCTCCCTTCAAGCGTCTGAGTAGCATGCGACGCCGCCCCACAGCTTCGGGGCCATCGACAGACATCACCAAAACCCTTTTCACGCCCGCCGTCTCCTACCCCAGCCAGTCCGTACCAGGCGCCGCCGCCCGACAAGCAGCAGCCGCCGCAAACCAAGATCGCCAGAACCAGCTGCGACGCGAGCAGGAACACACCCACCGCTTTCTCAATGGCCTCATCACCACGTCCATGCGTGATGACGACATCAAGGACAACGAGAGCGGTGTGGACATGACATGTGCTTCTCCCATTGTCCGCGCCGACAGTGTCACGGAGAAGAAGATGAGTGAGTTGGCAAACACCAGTCATTGGGGCCACGCTAACAGTGTCACAGTCGATCCCTTCCAACGCCTTCCTGCCGAGCTCGCCACCACCGTCCTGTCAAACCTCGATGCCGCTTCTCTCGTACGGGCCGAGCGCGTCTCGCGCAGCTGGAACGAACACGCCTCGTCACCGCACGTCTGGCGGAACGTCTTCCTTCGCAAACACGAACCCGAAGTACACGTCTCCCCTGCGCCTATCCAGATGGGCGGCTTGGGCACTGGCAAGATGGCAGGCGGCAACCCAGCACCAGCCCAGGACTGGAAGCAGATGTTCAGGGCGCGGAGCACAATCGACGGGCGATGGAAGACCGGTACACCCGCTGCCATTTACCTCAATGGTCACACAGATAGCGTCTACTGCTGCCAGTTTGACGAGAACAAGGCCATCACCGGCTCCCGAGACAGGACTATCCGCGTGTGGGACCTGAAAACTTACAAGTGCATCAGGGTCTACGGTGGACCCAACCACCGCCCAACAGCCAACACTCCCCCACCCATGGAGGAGCGACCGGAACGAGTCATCAGCCACGCTTCGCTCAACGGCACCAAGGTTGGCAACGAAATATACACCGTCCCCGCCGACTACCACGACGCTTCCATTCTCTGCTTACAGTACGATAGCGAGATCATGGTGACAGGATCCTCGGACTACACTTGCATCGTATGGGACATTACCGGCGACGAGTACGTTCCCATGTACCGACTCCGCGGCCATGAGGCTGGTGTCCTAGACGTCTGCCTCGATGACAAGTACATCATCTCTTGCTCCAAGGACGCCATGATCAAGGTCTGGGACCGTAAGACTGGCAACTGCGTCCGCACACTCAAGGGTCACAGAGGCCCCGTCAACGCCGTTCAGCTACGCGGCAACTTCCTCGTTTCCGCTAGTGGCGACGGTGTAGCTAAGCTCTGGAACCTTGAGACTGGTGTTTCAATCAAAGACTTCCCGTCCGAAGACCGTGGTCTCGCCGCTGTTGAATTTTCCGATGATGCAAAATACGTTCTCGCCGGTGGTAATGACCACGTTGTGTACAAGTTTGATGCTTCGACCGGCGAGCTGGTCCACAGCAGAGTTAAGCACGACGGTCTTGTACGATCCCTGTTCCTCGACGCCTTCAACGGTCGCATCGTGTCTGGCTCGTACGACCAGAGTATACAAGTTTCGGATTATGAGACTGGGCAAACATATGCTGTTTACAAGAACTGGACAACGAGCTGGATCCTCTCAGCCAAGAGTGACTACAGACGTGTTGTTGCTACAAGCCAAGATGGCAGGACTTTAATCTTAGATTTCGGCCACAATGTACCGGGATCTGAATTGCTCGCTGGATCGAAGTAATTGCCCATGGTAGCTGGATCGCCAACACATGGTCCAGACAGCGTCTTAATTCTTTGGTCGTCATCGACCTTGCTGCAGTACCCTCGCAGCCGGCCCTTCCCGCGCCCCGCCATTATCAATTAAAGTCTGAAGTGGCACATATACCCCCTCCGCGAAAAGATCGGGACAAGGAACGGATGCAGACGTGAGCATATAACCAGGCCGGCCAAAGGTTTTGTTGCAGAAGAAGGTGTGATAAGTTTTTTCCAAGTCAAGCATAGCATTCATCGGGCAGGCGTTCTCCTTATCTCTCCATGCGTAGCCTCTGAGTTATTCCCATCCTCCTCTACATTCTGTTGCTTCACCCTCTGCTTCGTGTTAGACTGCATTACTAGCATATATTTTGCGGGACGTGGTCACTTATCCATGTTTTTCCCGATTGCCTGTACTTCGGCCTATTAGATCTCTCCTTTGTTGTTTTTTGTGGGGTTTCTGGGGGAAGTTATAGGTGTTGTTGTGTATAGATGCTGGGATGGAGATGAGTGAGTGATAAGCAACTAAAGACGCTCTTTAATATCAAGATTATATACTTCACTCTTCGTTCTCCTGTCGTGACTGTGCGTCATGGGTCGTGCCGTTTAGTCACATTGGTTAGACCATGTATGGTCTGGTGATGCCTCATGATTTTGGCAACCACGATATACGTGTTTCAAGCACTGTGATCTCCCACGGAGACGCGTGACGAGATCAACTTTCGACAAGCCTCTCTCATCATCAGACACCTCATCAACCACACGAAACAGTTTAATAGACTAGCAAGAAACATCAATATTCCACGCAAAGGGTATACACAACAAACACCACACCTCCCCTCCCCATCACCAAGTCCCCCTCCTCATCCCCACGCCCTCCACCCTCTCCCACCAAGCCCCACTCCTCCCCTTAGTCGCCTGATTCATCCACGTACTACTCCTCCCTTTAGTCGCCTTGTTTACCAAAGTAAGCACATACGGCACTTGTTTCCTCTTCGAGTTATTCTATGACCCCTCGTTGTTCTTCTCGTCGAGGCAGATGCACAGTGCGGCGATGAGCGCCATGTCGACGCCCGGTGCGATTTGCACGCCGTAGGTCTGCTGCCCGAAGAATATGTCTTTGCCGCTGAGGAGCTTGCGGTCGATGCGGGCGACGACGAGGCCTAAGGGGAGGGGTTAGTATGGAGGTTGGGGGAGGGGTGGGGTGGGTAGGGTAGGGGAAGGAAGGGAGAGGAGGGAGGAGAGGGGGAGATACGTGCCTCCTTGCGCCTCATCCAGGATATCAGCCTGAGTATCGAAAAAGTCGCCTTTCATAGTGAGGCTTTCTTGCTTGCCGTTTTGCGAGGTGAATGTTGCTGTTGCTTTGCTTCCAAACACTGTATCCCATCGTCAGCCAAGACCATTCTGGAATCAAATATCAAATCACGCCCATCGTTTCGAAATTCCTCTCTTTCACATCTCCCAAGATCATCATCACGAACAAGACACAAAACTTACGTTTAAAACTACTCTTCACCTCCATAATCTTCTCGTTATTGGGACTCTCAACCACATACGTGGAATGAATATGAAAATGCTCTTTGACAATGCTGCACAGGTGGTTACCCTGCATATCGAACATCTTCTTGCGGCCCGTCAGGCTCATGACTTTGCCTTCGACTTTGAGCACGGGCGTGCCGTTTGCGAGTTTGATGCTGAAGCTGTCGCCGCTGAGGGACATGACTTTTTCTTTCAGCACGAGCGTTTCGGGGCCTGCGGCGAAGAATTGCGGGAACACGCCGATGGGCTGGGGGGCTGGTGCGAGGGCCATGGTTGTGTGGGTGTTTGGGGGTTGCGAGGCTGGTGGTGGTGATGTTGGGGTTGTTGCTGCTGTGGTTGCTTATCGTCAGGTCTTAGGGATAGGTGCGCGAACGGTAGGTAGTGTAGGTTAGCGTGATGTTCTGGAGTTGAGAGTCAGATAGTAGGAGCAATAGGTATGAGTCTGGTGTCGGCATTGGCATTTAATCATGTCTATCTGGGAAGCCTTACGTGACGCTAGGCGGTACTACCGTCGATCTTGGGGCGGTGCTTACGGTTAGGCAAGCACGGGTGGGGCTGAGCCGCGGCCGGCCAACCGAGAGCGATGTCATGAGGATGCCAAGTACCCTATCAAAAGACCACGGAGGTGATGAACATGACATGGACCGTGTTAAGGAAACGGTAATGCAGGCTGCGCCGGCCAGGACAGGAAATACAGCAGCCTTATGTGTGCTAGTATTGCATCTTGTGCTAGAAATAGAAACGTGGTAAGCAGCATGCATACTTACCCGATGCATCACTGGATCAATGAGGTGCACGCACGTCAGACTGTAATTTGCAAGACCAAAACTTTTGAGCATTGGGAGAGACCACTATGAACTCCGCCAACCCTATAGTCGAGACCTCTAGTCCGAATTGCCCTCGCGCCCCAACATACATGACAAACATGGCGACCATATGCACGAGGCCGGCTTCGAGGAAGCACAGCGTAGAATATATACACGGACCACAGAGCCGATATAAACAAATGGTCTAGACCCAGAGATTTCTCCTTGAGAGCAACAACCAGGGGGTATGAAACTAGGCACCGTTCCCGATCCGGCAGTATCGTGAAGAATGGAACTGAAAACGACTATAGTAAAACAACAAACAGTAAAGGAATCCGACAAGACATTAGTTCTGGGCCGCCAGATTGCGGCCGGATTAAGGACAGTATGTGGTGAGTAGTGGAACATGTCGAGCGGATCCTGGGGTATACAAGACAAGACCGACAAGAGATGCGAGATGGTGGGTACAATGCGAGGTGAGCAATACGCACGTTCATGCGTGTCGTTAGGCAAAACAGATGCTGGAGCGAGAGTAAGAAGGCAACAAAAGACTAGTAGATCGTTCAAACGTTCTCTGTAAACCGAGATGACCTGGATCCATCCGCCGAAGGCAGACTTCTACCAAGAGTGCCTCTAGGTGGGGCGTCAGGATTTGGAGATTGGGGCGGACTGAGATAGTGACGGTCCGAGAAGGGGTTGCCATCATCAGGATGCCGTATGACTGGTGTCCTGGCTGGGCTGGGTCGAATGTTCATTGGTCCTGACTCTCGGTTCGTTGGGCTGTCACCGATCTCCTTGCCAAACTCTTTTGACATGCCGGGACCGCCATATGTGCCGTGTTCATCTTGGTAGAAAGAAGATCCAGACATTGTGCCGCCACGAGAGAACTGATCTGATGTCATGCCCTCGCTGAAGGCGGAAGGGAGCTTGCGCCCTGACACCCGTTGAAAGCTGCGTTCACCACCACTGAGGTTGGTTTCCGCAGTCTTGCCTGACAAACCAGAGAATCGGTTCAAGAAGGCGATAGGAGCCAAAGTACTAGCTGTGGTGGGTGCTTGCCTCATCGACTGGTTGTTATCGGTGTGATCGTCGCCAGTGAGTTGTAAAGCACCGCCCTGCTTCCGCTTGTGACGTCTGAGCAGCAGCAGTATTATGGCGAGAATGAGCGCAGCGCCTGCCAAACTGCCCACTACACTTCCGACGACCTGTGGGGTTTCAAGTGGAGAAGGAGCGGTGTCGGCATCGGCATCTGAGATGCCTGCTGTAGTGGCAGCAGGGGCAGCCGCCGTTCCAGACGCATCCCCACCGGCACCACCATAGTATGCTGTTGTTGACGCAGCATCCGAGGAGATGACGGTACTGCTAGTGAAAGCAGATTCTGCTGAAGTTTGAGAAGATGACGCTGCGTCGGACGAGGACGTGAATTGCGATGCCGATGAAGATGTCGAGCGAGTCGGAGCGTCTGCGATGGTCGCAATCAGGTCAGTCGCAGTTGACGCCGAGATGCTGTCAAGAGAGACGAATGAAGAAGATGAGAACAAGGAAGCAGTGCCTGGAAATGTTAGACTTGATCATGTTGACAGTATCGTCTGGCTTACTAGATGCGGTCGAGTTCAAGATAAAACTAACATCTGATAGCGGCACAGGGGCTGCAGATGGAGTCGCAATGCTTATGGGGGCACCAGTTGGAATTGGAGATGCGCTCAAGTCTGAGGTGGCCGGGACTTGGCCGCCTGTAGAGTATGGGTACGCAGGAACGGTGGGAACCACCAGGTCACTTGGGAAAGGTGGGACTGCTGGGACGGACGGAAGCACAGGAGCCGCAACTGTAGGTACTGCTGGTACTGCTGGAACACCGGGTGAGGGAGCGGAGGGCAGTGGTTGCTGCGCCGCGGGTGCTACCGAGGGCGCTGGTGCGGGTGAAGGCGCTGCGACCGCTGCAGCAGTCGGCAGTGCAGGTGCATCTGGGGACTGAGGTGTGACGGGCGCCATAGTCTCCTGAGCGATGAAACTTCCGCTGGTATCGACGGTTCCGACTACTTCGACGGCGACAGTGACAACCTTCGTGTTGCCTAGCGCAGCACGACGGTGAAAGAAGCGATGGCCTCTGCTCATGCTGTCTCTGGCTCTCAGTTCAGGGATAAAGTCCACCTGGCTTGGTTCCTCCTCTTTCTCTTCAGGTTGCGGCACAGGTTCGCTCTGGGGCGGGACGTTTTGCGCGCGGTGACGGTAGCGCGAATCGACTCTGGATATCCTGGGAGGTGTTGCAACGGGGTCCATAAAGGTCTAGAGACGGGTCCAGGTAATACGGACTAGGGCGATGCTTCCAGAGTATCGGTGGCGAGGTGCGCGGTTTGGCGGTACATGTGTTGTAGGGACGGTGTTGCGAATGAGCGGACGTACGGGCTTCAGCCGATGCAGGGAGTCCAGTCAATGGAGTGGGTTTGGGTGGGAGCGAGTGAATGTCGGCAAAAGAATGGACGCCAGGTGACTGACTGAGGGATGGTCTGGAGGCGGCAACGATCAGCACTCACATGTCAGGAGGATGAACTTGAGGAGGACCTACGTGAAGGCGATCAATAGGCCAGCATTTGCTTCGCGACGGTCGCGCGGTTGAGGGGGCGGAGGGCGTGGTTATGGGGAACGGGCGGCGGACGCAATTTCTAGCGTCGTGTATCGTGCAACGGGGTGGGCCAGACGTGGTGTGGGTGTCGCGCGACGGCGGCTCCAACAGCTTCTTCCTGAGGGTCCCTTGGCCGTGGTAGCGCTGGGTCCGTGGAATTGTCGACGTCGCGGCGGAAGCGTCGTGGGAAAGAGCGATCGGGACACAGGGAGCAGACACAGACACTTTCACAGCGCACGCCGACGCTCCAGCCCAGCCAGATGCAGCGAGGAGACGAGAAACCGTTTGGGGTCCGTCGGCCGTTGGCACGGGCCCTGTGGGACTGATTGGCCCGCAACCGAGATGATATGTCCAGGAATAGCAGGCCCCACCGGCATACGATATCACCACACGCACGAAGCAGCGACGCGATCTTCGCTGCCATGACGACTGGTGACGACGGCAATCTCTTGCTTAATCTCGTCCTCGCCCACCCGTCGCGCGTCGTCGAGCTTCACTCTTCGGCAGTACAACTTCGGAGAATTGGCGTACCATGGTCCAAAGGGGCTGCTAACTAGCCGTCCCGCTTGCACCTGCAGTGGCGCCACACCATCCAGCGACGGCCTTTCAGGTACCGCATTCTGGAACGGAGCATGCAGGGCCATGGCCCACTGCAAAGTCTGTCAAGGTGTTATTCTTAGTTGCCGCCCTTGGGTTGTCGCACCTGCCATTGCTATTGTCGCACAAGCATCGCCGACTCGTGCTCGTCGCCTTGGGGGACTCGCTTGCTGCAATCTGCCGCCGTGCCCTTTCCACCACCGCCGGCCCGTGTCTGCTGGCTGGCGTATTGCCAAGCCCGAGTAGTGTTCATTGTTCGCTAGGGTGGCCTTCATAGTTCACCACCAACATCACGAGCTTCCTCTCTGGAACGCGCCACTGTCTAGTATGTTTGTCTGGAGCCCCTGGCCTATCGCGTCAGCAAACAACCGCGCATGAACCACGCCGAACAAAGAACGAGGCCATCCACGCCGTATGACATTACCCTCCTGATCCAGACCTGCCCTTCAGCATGCCTCATTCCTCCATGACTTGTGAGATGTGCCACTCTGCGGTGCATGACTATTCGTCATATAGCTTCACAGACCTTAGCAAACCTAAACGACAAGGCCTCAGCGATCAGCTCTATACGCACGAGTCATGCACTTTAACACGGATTCACGGAACTTCAAATATCCTCTGACACGAGCGCGACTTCGAAACACAAACATATAGAATGTCTATATAACGATATAACCAAAGGGGTGATCGGCGGCGCGCCAGATTCCGCAGTTCCGTCCCTTGCTGCTTCCGAAGTCTTTGTCTCTGCTAGGAAAGCGTGCGTCTCATCGGGTTCCACACGCCCAACTACGACTGCCTGCCGCTTGTGGACCACTATATCGCGTTGCGCACGTCTCTCTTCGTTGAAATCCAGGAATCTGACGGTGCGCACTCTCGAACCAGTCAGTCTTGACTTTCTAGCGCGTGTCTATAGGTTATACCTACTTGTTGAGCATGCGTATAGATGAATACGCGAGTGGCGAGCGAATACGCCGTCCTTCGTATCGGACCTGCGTATGAGTTGTCGCGTTTTACCCCACATTGCCCCTCTGTACTGCACGCCTTCCAAGCCTCGCAAACACTTCCCAGTTTTCAAGACACTGGTTATATAATTCGTGCCTCTTCCCATGCGTGTCGCCTGTGTCGTAACAGGTGCACCAAGACCCAGCAATGACGTCGCCAACAAGTCAACCAATGGACCCCCAAAAGCACCAAAGACGCCCACCACCTCTTCCTCCCCGAGACTCTTCAACAAGTGATGCGCCTCCACCCTACTCCGTCATGGGCATGTCGTCGCAAGACCCGCGCTCCTCTTCAACCCAGTCGCTTGTTCCAGATCCCTCGCAGGGAGACACCGGGCGTCGGCGCCTAATGCTCGTTTTCATTCATGGCTTCATGGGCAACGAAACAAGTTTTAGGAGCTTCCCAGCCCACGTGCACAATCTTGTAACTATCACGCTCGCCGAAACCCATGTCGTCCACACAAAAATCTATCCCAGATACAAGTCCAGGGATTCGCTTGAGATTGCGAGAGACAATTTCTCGAGATGGTTCGCTTCTCTCACCCATCAACATGCTCAGGACTGACAGCTGTCAGGCTAGCTCCACACGAGGATCAATGGACCGACGTTGTCTTGCTCGGTCATTCCATGGGTGGCTTGCTCGCTGCAGATATCGCGCTAGTATTCCGCCATCGCATCATTGGCATCGTGAATTTCGATGTTCCGTTCCTGGGCATGCATCCTGGAATTATCAAAGCTGGACTAGGCAGCATCTTCAGTTCACCACCAACGCCACAGGATGCAATTGTGCAAGACGCCGACGTTGGAAAGAGGCCCAGTAGAATGAGTACAATCTTTAACCCAAAGCCTACGGATCCCAATTACAACCCGGCATTCCCAAATGATGTGAATCTGCCAAATCGGAAGGGCTGGGAAAACAGCCTACACTGGCTTACCAAACACTACAAAGACGGCTTGAAAGAAGCCACTAAAGGTCTCGTCAAGTCTCATTTCGAGTTTGGCAGCGCAATGGCCGACTACAAGGAATTAAAGAACAGATACGCAAGGGTGCGCGCGCTTGAAGAAGACGACGAAAGCAGGAGGAGATCTGGGTTTGGCCAAGGGCGCACAGTACCTCGCGTACGCTTTGTCAACTACTACACTGCAAGTACCGGGAGACCCAAGAAGCCGAAATCTCCCAAGTCGCCTTCTCCAAAATCACCATCCCCATCCCGCTCCTCCAGTCAGCAACTACAGCATCAGGACAGCAACATGAGTGCTTCGAGTGAGGCATCGCGACATATACCTGCTCAAACAGAGGAACAGGAGAGGTCGAGAACTTCATCGATCACATCGTCCGAGCCGGAGATGACACACGTGCATCCTGAACCCATGGCAGATTCTCCGCCGCTATCCATTAAAGTCCACGAGCATCGAGACGACGGTGTCGTGCCTGTCAGCCCTCAAGACCTCCTCTCGGCTACCAGCCCTATAGCACCTCAAACTTTAGAGGAACCAGCGCGCGAAGACAGCGGTCCTCCAAACTTACCAGAGATCCCGCCTATTCCGCAGGAGCCGCCATTTGTTGATCTGATGCAATTCTCCGACAAGGCCCAGCGCAAAGCTGCAGAGAAGGAGCATGACCAGGCTCTCAAAGTATATCAGAAAGCTGTCAAGACACGCAACAAGACAATCAATGAACGGACCAAGATGGAAGAGAAATGGGAAAAGGAAAAAGCGAAAGAGAAGAAGGACCGAGAGAAGGAAGAGAAGAAGAGGCAAGAAGAGCGGGAGAAAGCAAGGAAGGAGCAGGAGAAAGAAGAGCTGAAGAAGGCTGAAGAGGCCAACAACATGTCAGCAGAGGACAAGCAAAGGCAGAAAGAAAGAGAACAGCGACAAGCGGAGGCGGAGCAGAGGGAAGAAGAAGCGCGGCAAAGGCAACGAGAAGCAGACTTGCGCGATGGGAAGATACCCGCAGAAGACAAAGCCGAACCAAAACGTGCTACGACTGACCTGGAAGAGGACATTGGTGCTATTGAACTGGGAGACGATGAGCCAACTCAACACAACCCCCAGCATCCATACGCCAACTACCAATTCTCCCGTAGCGGAATCATGCGTCAAGACACACCAGACGGCCGCGCCGATTCCTCCTACACCCTTTCCACGATGGACAGTCAGAACAGTCATCGACCAAAGACCGAGTCGGAAGAAAGCGCGCCCACCAAACCTAAGAAGCTCAAGAAATTCTGCATGCTACCACCGAAAGACGCAGATGGAAACAAAGACCCCACATGGATACGCGTCTTCATGGAGAACATGGATGAGGTGACAGCACATACATCGCTGTTCTTCATCAACGAGACGTACGAGAAGCTAGTAGGAGACGTTGGTGCAAGGATAGAAGACTGGGTCAGAGAAGCGGATAGTGTGCGGCTGGTACGCGAGATGAGTGAGGTGGGAGACGTGAAGTCATAATTATCGTTCAAGATACCCGTATACATGAAATCGAAGTAGACCGTTCTTTCGTTTCCCTTTCTAGCTTTGAGTACTCGTCCACCCCATCTGCGGCGCAATCGACATGACCCTCCCGCCTACAACCAGCCCCCAAACACCCAGGCCCAGTATCCCGGAGCCACCGTTCGCCATGCCCGCCCATACGCCTCCTGCTGCCGCCCATCCCAGACTCAGTGTGCCCAGCAATAACACCACAAGCTCACTACCCCGTATCGCTTCATTGAACTTCTCGACAAACGGGATCTTCGTCTGATTCCTGTCGTTCCAAAAGTTGTTCATGTGTACCCTCGCGAGGTACGCAGCCGCCGCATTCGCCGCGCCAGCCCCAATCAGCACTTTTGTAGACGCGAGACTAGGTACGATGAGGAGGGCCGTGGAGGTAAGGAAACTGAGTAGTAGCTATCACCATCTTGTTAGCTACACATATTCTCGCGTTGGCCCTAACAGGGGAATGACAAACCGTAACAGTCCCACTAGTCTGCGTTGACCGCGTCTTGTGCAGTCTTTGCGCCGCAGTATTTGACCATTCTGCAGCCTTTTCGCTCTGTTTCTCGTATTGCTGC